ACTTGAGAGTTGACAAATGTTTCCTGGGGTCCCTGAGGCTGCTGAATGTGATATAAATTATCGGACTTTGAAATCGAAAACAGCGACCCCAAAAACTCAGGATTCAAAAGTTAACTCTGATAAGCAAGATCTGGTATATTTTGAATATACTACTCGCATACTAATATATATCAAGAGGGGTGGGGTTAAAAGTCAAAACGTGGTAAATAAGGGTAAATGGGCGCTGAACAATACGAGGTTGCTGTTATGTTTCATCAAGGGAAAATTATCTTGAAATCGATACCGCCCAAATCGACCCCATATCTTAGAAGTGACATGTGAGCATAAGGCCACATTTGTTTAACTTTCCAAAGTAACTTTGTGTAGAAAGTTGACAAGTGCATTTAGTAGAGAAAAATTACGAATAACGATGGATACACTTTTCGTGGAAGTACGTAGAGAACTTCGCCCTAGAAAGAATCTTTCGGAGCTAGATGTAGACATATCTAGAGAAAGGTATTCTGGCTTTTAAAAAAATCGACGGATTTCTTATTTCTAGTTCTGGATGATTGCACCCAAATCACAATCACTAACACAAAACCACGCTGAACGTTTGCCTTAACAAAGACGATTTCGTTTGAGAACAGAGAAGTACTCTTATATTACCACATAAATATTACAAATCATTCTATTGTTTATAGACGGATAACCACAACTGCCAACCATAATGATGGATTTTATTACCACCATATACAATACATAGAGCAGCGTAAATATCTATGTACGAGTGTCTAAGGCAGTGTCATCAACCTATAAGTTCAGGGGCCTTTGGTTTTTATGTCTCGTATTTTAATTGGTTATTATGCACCGCGACCTGTCTATTTTATTGCCTGTTTGTGATTTAGTGCGTGCAGCCAAAGGTGTAATATATACAGGAGCTAGGTGACCAGGCACAACACGTATTTTCCTGTACAGGGTGTCACTATCTATCTACCTTGATGCAATACGTCTGCCATAGTGGGACGTATAGCTGATGAGGTTTTAGTAGGTATACCGAGTCTTATTAGCGACATGACACTGTTTGCAAAAAATCACTTACCTAAAAAAATTGATTTTGTTCTTTTCAACATAAGCCGATTTGGGCAAAATCAATTTTTAAATGAGCAAATAATTGTCCTTATTTTTGTTTTCTTATCAAAGCTATATTCAACAAATCGAATAACCAATATCTTATTGCATATTCAGATAAACACTTTTGCAAGAAGAGATTGATATTCTATAGGGCTTTGCTTATTAATTGTTGAGTTCTAGGCTAATCCAGTAAAAGAACAGTGAACTTTGACAGCTTGCCAGGACGCCTCTTTGAGAGCACGTCTTGTGTTAAAACATCCTCGTTTTATTTCCAGTAGCTCTGTATTTTCAAAATATTATCAGTTTCTGTGAGAGTCTAAAATTAAAAACATGTTATAGAACATTCTGAACTCACTACGGGTTCTTTCATCCACCGCACAGTTGGCGCTTTTCACAAAAATCTATTGACATGTATAATTTATATAACGGATTTAAAAGAAATCGGTTTTTATGATCAAGCAAATCGATTACTGATAATCGATTGTAAGGAAAACATAATAGATTAGAATAAATTAAAACAAAAGTCCCCAAGGCTCCCACTTCAGATGGCAGCATTTGGTAGATTTATTACATGCCCTCCAAGCTTCTTCGCCCGACAGCGCTTTCCCTACCTCAGAAGAGAGAAATACATGACCAGGCACAATATGTATACAAGGTGTTTCCAAATATATGCTCAGATCAACAACATTATTGACTACCTAATCGTGCAAGCCAGCCTGAATTGTATATCTGAATGGTGCTCATCTAACGAATCAGTTCTGACTGGGAAATGCACGTTCCGTTCTTTCACCAGCAAAACGAATCCAATAACGTTTGATTATGCGCTGCAAGGCCTTAGCTAATGTTTTGGGGTAAGGGAGCTGGGTGTCTTGTTTGATGCTAAATTTGGTTGTTTTTTTTTTATACGAAATTGTAAAGACTTTGTAGTGAGATAGCGCTCAACACAGTTTACTATACCTTGGTGTGTTCTAAGCATCAAGTATGGCCTCCCTATTATCAAATCTATACTAATGGGATTGAAGGTGTGCATCGGAGATTTCTTCAGTACTTTACATTCAACTTAGATGGTGTTTACCCCACTCGTTGGAATGACCAATCAGTGATGTTGGTCAGATTTGAAATGCACTAGAGGAGAATTGGCAATAGCCTAAAATTTCTTTGCAAGCTCATACACAGTGAAGTAGATTCTCCAGCTTTATTAGCTAAAATTGACGTTCATGTACCATCCCGAATTTCCTAAAGATACCATGCTTTTTTGCCATCTACCTTATGCACTTCAGATTAAACCCTATAGGAGATAATCGTACCACTCATCACGATAAAGTAAAAGATATGCTGACTGAATACTACTTATTATTTTCAAGAAACTGGTTGGGCTTATCATTTTAATTAAAGATCCTGTAATCTAATGCTTTACTTCGATTACATTGTTCTCTAAGTGCATTCTTCTGTTGGGCGATAAAGACAATAATAATTATGAAAACATTTTGCCATAATTCACTGTGTGATTCTTACGACAAACGACACCCTGTAGATCATAGTCGGTACATTGTATTTAACCATCGTTTCTGTCTCATCTCCTAGCTCAGCTGAATCCGAGACATCTTGCACTTAGTACCACCACTGCGACTCATAAATAATAATTGATGTCTAGCCCAAGCGTAGGTCGATATGGGCCGTAACTTATTGCTGTCTGTCTTTTTTCCTAGAATGTCCCGCTATATTTTTACGAGGCACACCTGGTCTGCATGGCCGAAATAAAACCGACTGTTACCCGTCTGTCAAGTGCCCACACATACAAGCGTTTGTCATATGGGACAAAGATAAAGTCCAGGAGAATATAAGTCTTATGGGGCTACTACATACAATCTGAGATAAAATTTCTTCCTAACCGCAAGTTGTACCATCACACAAAACACACCTAGCAGCAACGAAATCCTACTGTATGCGTACCGTACTTAATTTTCTTATCAAACACTCGAGTACAACAAATCCTATGGATTTACCAGCTCAAGGCCAAGCAATTCTAAAACCAAATATGTTATTGACATTCATTTCTGCAATAAGACAGTCATAGCGATTAGGTCTCATGTCAGTTATTTTAACATTTATAGAGTTATTGTCCTTTATGCCTTGTAAATTAAGTTATTTTTTACACAAATTAAAGGATTCCCAACCTTCAAATGAATTTTATGTGACACCTTTCATTAATGAAATGTCTATATCATCTCCTATTGATTTAGTAATTTACAAATCAAAGCCTTCCATCTGATACCACCACTCAGGCATATCGCTGACTCTGTTTCATTGAACAAAACTGAGAATCATCTCGATAGATAAGACGTTCGATTTAAAAAAAAATCATCCACAAAAATAGTTTTAACTTTTAAGCAAATTATTTTTATTCTACAGTATTGCGGTTTCCATCAAAAATCATCAAATAGCGTCCCAATCGCGCAAAAAATTTTGTTGAGCAGTAGTTAATGCCATTGCCGGTTGGACAAAAAATACAATTATATTGTTTATTGGGAATTGGCAAACTTTAAGCTTAAGAGATTTGTTCGCGAGATCCCGTAGTGAACCGGAGCGGCAACAGATGGAATTCCCCCTTCTTCTCGAAGTTTTGACAGTTTCAAGTGGGGGGGGGGGGGGGTGGTTAGATGGCGCATGTTGCGCAAAATGTTTGCTTTAAGCTCCTTGATAAACTTAGCTGCCTTGTTTGAATCTGAAACAAAAAGACCGATCGTTTCTTGTGCAATGTACATGTATATCAATAAAATCAATCATTTTATATGACAAGTGTGCGGTTCATATATCTTCGATGATCCTTCTCCCTCGTCATTTAAAATCAGGTGGTCGTGTTCCTCCATTTATGATTTAATAATTTAACTTAATTTTCAGCACTGCAAAGACAAATTGTCAATTGAGATGCCTGTTTTTTAAATGATGTTGACATAAAACCTGTCACCCGCTAGTCCCTCACAGACGATAGACGGGTACCCGTACCACGTGGTTTTTTTACATTCGGACGACGTCACATCCATCTTCCCCTATTCCCGTTCTTCGCGAAAATTTGAGTAATGGTAATCTCGAGCTTTCGACAAACTATGTTGTGATCTTCAGGAGCCAAAAAACAAATATAGGGGAAGGTGGTACAAAATGATCCCCTTAAGGGAAAACGGCTGAGAAACGACTGTATCCAGCTTTTGATAAAAGTTAAAATATTTAAAGCGTAGCTATGCAATCGAACTACAAATTTAGTAACCTTTGAATCGCGTAAGCCATTAGGAATAATTTTTATTAATTTTTCCGTGAAGCTCTACCAAAGGATCATTTTGTACACCCCTGTGTCCAAAATGATCCCCGAGATGCGGGTAAAATGATCCGGGGGATCATTTTACCTCACTATACAAAATTCATGTAAGAACTAAAAGAATCAATAATACTTTTACAAGTTTTATTGCAGATTCAGTATCAAAATGAATTAATAAAACACATATTTATAAAAAGAAACTTTTATTTAGAAGCCAGTAGAAACGAAAAGGAATCTTGAAATATACATTAGAACATTAATATGTACATGGATATATGTTCATATCATAAGAATGTATATAATATCCACTTTTACAGTCTTAATTGTTTCCGAGCAGAAGTGAAACGATCATCGGCATCGACACAAAAATCACATGTGAACTCGTCAGCGTCATCGGGATCAACGCCAGCGCAAGCTTCGTGGCCCCATCTTAAGCAAGCACAACATTTGATCCATCCTTCACCTCTATTATTATTGGAAAACCTCTCATTACAAAACAAACACTCAGCATCACTTTCGTCCTCTAAAGATGACTCACTTTTGCCTCTTTTAGGTTTTAGACGTTTGTATTTTTCGGTCACATTTTCTTTTGCTTTTCTTTTTCCTTTTTCCTCATTTGATTTAGAATTTCCCTTGATTGAGTTCTTTTTATTTTCGTTGCGTTTATTTTTTTGCGTTCTTTTTCATTTTTTTTATTAACTTCCTCTTCTAAGTAATTTTTATAAGGCGAACTTGTAAGGATTGCTGTACATACTCGAGCCTTGATATTTTTTCTACGTTCTTCTGCCATTTTAGGGAAAAGTCGAATCTGGCATGGAGGGATGCTAAAAGATGTGGACGCAACTGGTGATGCAAATGAATCTTTATCCGAAGTGTCATAAGACGCCGATTGAGCAGCAGCTGCAAGAGATGGTGTATTCGTAGTTATGGATGAGGTAGAAGGCGAAACATTATCGTAGACGGAAGATACTTCAACTGATGTCCACGGTAATGGAATGGCGGCTGAACTTCTCAAGCTGTTAGAAATACTTTCGTTGGAAGCCAGAATAGTAGTAGGTGCTTCAGCTACACGGTATTCGTTATTCTCTCCTTGCTTGTGGGCTGCACATGTCGATAAGGTACAAGGTGACACAGCAGTAAGGTTGGATGGTTCATCAACTAGTACACATGTCGTAGAATCGGCTGGAAGTACAGGAGCCCTGGGTATAAGTTGTCGCGGTTTATGGTCACCAAAAACTTGAATTTCATCAGGCGCTATATTTATTGATGGATGGGGCACCAATATTTCGTTACTTACTGCTTGATCAGTTGTGGTGGCAGCAACGAAGTCTACATCAGTAAAAACATCAGGATTGAGCGGCCATATTCCACACTTTTCAAATCCTTTGATAATATTTGAGGGTGCAGCAGCTTTCAAATATGCTTCTCCAAAGATTTTACCTATTTGAAAAACTGTTACTACACGACCCGCACTATTATTCATCCACCTTTCTAAAGCCTGGTTGTGATACACGCTCAGTGGAAACATTACACCAACATCGAGTGGTTGAAGTTTGTGCGTGCAGTGTGGGGGTAAGCACAAAATTGTTACGTTATTTTCTCTGGCTTTTATTATGACGTCCAAATTTCTGGTGTGAGAAAGATGGCCGTCCAGTATTAGAAGTATGGGATCTTCTGTAGATGGTTTAGTATGGGACAAGAAATGGTCAAACCACTGAGAGAAAACCTCAATATTCATCCAGCCGGAGGGATTGCACGCGTACACAGAGCCTGGTGGAGTACCGTCCATTAATTCTATTTTCATTCGCAATCGGCGAAATATTAGCATTGGTGGTATGAAGTTTCCTCCAGCTGATCCGCAAATAACTGCTGTAGTTGATTCACCTCTTTCGGCAGACGTGATTCTCGCTACTTGTTTGCGCCCTTTTTTGGCAAAGATTTTACTATTTTTGGTCGGAACGGTGTTCAAACTAGTCTCATCAACGTTAAAAATGCGATGAGGAGGAAATACATGCTTTTCCTGAGCTTTTTGTAAATTTTTGTAAAATTTGTCAATAATCGGTTTATTGAATGCTCGAGCTCGTGCCGCTGACGTTGACTCCGGGGCACGTAGAGTGATATCAGGATGTCTTTGTCGAAACCCCCTTAGCCAGTCTTTACCAGCTTTACGGGACGTGTTGTTTTCCGGATGTAATTTCGCGGCATGATTTCTGAAAGTAAAACGGCATTAATGGCTACCGCATATTTTAAGCAACAAAATAAAGATAAATTGAATAGTATCACAAGGTTATATATTGTGAAAACTTATGACTATTGCATTATTGAAGTCGTTTTTTTATATGCATACTAGTTACTATTGGGTGATAATATAAAAAAAAACATATCTATTGGAAGTAGGTAGACGGGGTAAAATGATCCTAGGAATCATTTTGCCCACCCCGTATAGGGATCGTTTTGCCCCAAATGCGTCATTAACGAAAACATCAGAACATAACCTTTGTTTCTCGAATATTGTAATGAATGATGGTTAATTCTATAGTTAATTAGTACCAGAAACTGATACAAACACACCAACCACATAATATATACATAGAGTAAAGCACCATAATGTCAAATGATGGCTTACCTTAGATTGAGAGCACTGATTTTAAATATTTCGTGATAAAATCTTCACCATTGCCTGTGACGCCACGATACCGACTGAGATTGTACAGCTTAACCATATGAGCGTGTAGCTTATTAAAAGCATCCTAGATGACGCTATAAACTCAGTAAAATAGCCGGGGATCGTTTTACCTTCAGGGATCATTTTGTACCACTTTCCCCTAAAACTGGCAACCTATTTAAAACAGATTTAAATTTTCAAATCACTTACTCGTCGGTGAGGTTGCAGCTAAATGGTGCTTTAAAACGAAAGCGTGGATGAGAACATTTGCTACAAATATAAAACCAAAAGACCGGACACATTGGGTGTGTTTCTAACGACGAAAAACATCGGTAGGTGTTACAACCATATATCAGCAAATCCGAACAAATTAAAAATTGTCAAACATACTCAAGCTATTAAAAAACCAACACTACATTTTGGAGAAATAGCAACATCCTTTCTAACGTCGTATATTTGTTGCACGTGGTTGCAGTGATTGAAACTGGAAATGTGAGTTGTAAACAGATGTCAGATGAACGTCATGAAAGAATGTGGAAGTGTTAAAATCTAACCAAGTGCAAAGGTCCTACGCACCGCTCTGACAAACAATGACGAATAGAAGTGTAAAAATCATTGCCAAATTTCAGGTATAGTGCATCCGAAGGGCGTTCGAAAAATCTTTTCATATTTCCCAAAATACTGAAATAGTTTTGTTTTGGGAAAGTGTAATTTTTATGAAAATATGATGGTAATGACACACGAGAAAAGATGCGTCGTGTGAAAGATTTTTAATATTTATTATTACTATGACCCTGAAAAATTCATTCATTTTTCGGAATATATAATGAAAAATTTTGCTCCATTGTTGGGAGGATGTTGGACCAACTGGAATATGTAGTCGTTCTAATTTTTCGCAGTTTAACAAGTAAGAATAAATGATACTAAGTTGCTTAGCATCAGCCTTTTTATTCATACAGTCATCTGTCAAGGAAATGTGGGACATTTCTAAAAATAGACGTTTTGATAGGTGTTCTTCTATGTCAAGAACCCTAATACTGTCACTTTTATACATATACACCACTTTATTGAAAAAACTGGCTAGAGAGAGAGGTGTAACTTCTTCAAAGATAACACCACATTGAGCGTATAAAATTTTTAGTCATTTCCAATGAAGTTTGACGAAACACAAGTTCCATCTAGAGAGCGTTATGTATGGTGACTTGCACGTTGTTTGTATTGTTCATGAAAAAAATGGATTTACTACAATGAAATTTATACTAGCTGCCAAGACCAAGAATTAGAGCAATAAATATGAGAATATATTGTGACATAGTGTGGTTTTGATCTTGCCTGAACCACCCCATTAAGTTACTAAATCTCAAAAACCTCCTCAAGTATGACCATGTATACCGGAGTAAAATAACGTATTTAGGTAACTAACAAAATGACACTTAGAAAAATTCAAAGTTCTTTAGGAAAGAGACGGAAAAGAACGACATTTCCCATTTATTTCGTATACTAGATCAGACCTCAAATTGAAGATAGTACAGAAAAGAGTCGGGCCTTGCCTACAAAATAACTGTCAAGGTTTTGAACATCTACTACGATTTATGATTATTATTGTTATTACCATCGATAAAATTTCACTTTCGTGTTCAGGTTTCACCATACCTTTTTAATTCGTTTTAATTTGCTTTCCAACAACAAATTCATAGCCAACCAAGGAAATATGTTATTGCATTCAGTACTGAAAGCATTTAAATGTACAAAATTACAATAAAGCGTTCATATGAAAAAAAAATGGTCAAGTCGAAAAAAGGAACCCCGAATTGAAGATTTTACTTCGCCATCTAGCCAAACGTCATATTGAAATACTATTTATTATATTATTTATACTATCTTGTTAAGGAGAAAAAGTGTCAGTCTTAATGTCTAATTTATTTTGAGATCCCACTAAAACTAGTGTCAGGCAAAATTTAAACGATTTTTGGAAAATTCTCACACTTTCGTATTGTTATTAGCCAACGTTACCGTCGTTCAAGCAACTTCGTATCTCACGCTGTTTCCGAAATCATTAGGGTCGAATTTGAAACACCCAACAGCTATCTGACTGTTCCAGTTATAGCCAGTCCATAGCAGAGAATCAAATCTGACAGCAATGGTATCCTAAGTGTCTGTTTAGCCACTTTTTGAATTAAACTTTTATTAATACCATAATATAATTAACTTAATCATATTATATTCAAGCGTTGATGCAAACCATGCATATTATTATACAAAGCTTTGATTAATACACCTCGAAGAGTATTCCGTATAGAGTGCCTTATCAACAGGGGTATCTAAACATCTGGTATCTTTACCAATGTACCGTATGCTTCACACAGCAGACTAGGCAGCAGACTATAAAAAATGTGCATAGATGACCAGATAGCAGAATAGCAGTAAACGCTGACGTAATATGCACCTTACTAGAAATCACGCTCGAGGTGCTTATCACTGGCACTTTTTAAAACAGAAGATCTCCTACATTGTTTTTGGGTCTCCTTGTAGCTCCTATCATCTCGTTAGATTTGCTCGGATCTCGTTATATTGTTACCAAATAAAACCGTAATATCTACCGAAACATCAGTAGAATTGCCAACCCAAGAATGTAATGGCAATAGAAGCAGATTGTCTTGGATCCTCTTGGATTATCTCAATAGGATTTTTCCTTGAAGAAAGATAAGGAAATATCTCGTACTTATTTTAAATAGGAATTTAGTACATAGTTTGCCAATGATTTGACCAAACTTTGTTGCTAAAATAACGTGTAACGCTTTATTACATAAATTAACCATGGAATACTCCACAGCAGAAAGAGTTGAAATTATCGAAATATTTTTCGGAAATAATCAGTGCGCTAATAGAACAGCAGAAATATTTAACAAGCCCCCCACACCTGATCCTACGTTAAGTACCCGCAAATTGAAGACTGTGTGTGGTGTTAGTCGACGTACTGTTCATCGGATTCTAAAGGCCCAAAGTTTTCATGCATATAAAATTCACGTACAAGAACTTAATGAAGACGATTTTGATCGGCGATTACAATTTTGTGAAGATATGAGTGAACGAATTATAAACGATGAACATTTTTTATTCAACACTTGCTTTTCCAACGAATGTTTTTTTTTCCTTAAATGGCGTAGTAAATCGTCATAACTACCGATATTGTTCCGATTATAATCCCAGAATTTATCAAGAGGTTTATAAACATTAGCCACAAAAATTGTATGTTTGGGCTGGTATTTTTGGCGATCATTTAGTTGATCCTTTTTTCTTACCTGAAAATTTGTCCGGTGAAATGTATTTGGAATTACTGGAAGACGCCATAGATCCTGCATTAACAACCATAATTGAAAATCAGAATGATCGGCGGTACATTGCGAATAGGTTGATGTTCCAACAGGATGGTGCCCCACCACATTACGCATTACGTGTTCGACGATATTTAGATCAGACGTTTCCAGATCGATGGATTGGTAGAAGAGGTGCCATTGAATGGCCCCCAAGATCGCCAGATTTATCACCGTTGGATTTCTTTATGTGGGGTCATTTAAAAAGCAAAATCTATGCTACTCAGCCAACATCATTAGAAGACCTGCAGCAAAGAAATGTGAACGAGTGCCTTCAAATTACGCCTCAAATATTCCAAAATGTGCGGCAACGTTTTGAGCAAAATCTTTATTATTGTATGGAGAGTCATGGTGGCCATTTTCAACATTTACTTGCTTAACGGGTCAGTTCATTCTTCATTTTTAAATTACTTTGCTGCCAAATGTGTTGATCTCGACTAATGATGATGTACTAGTTTTATTTAAACTTTAAATCAATAAATCTTCAAAAATGCTGAACTGAAGTACATTAATTTTATATCAGTATAAAGGGAATTGAAAGACCTTTAAAATAAGGTATCACTCGACCCCCCTTTCCATTTAAGATTTTGGGGGTGGTGTCACCCCCGCTTAGGGGGCTGCACGTGCTAACGTGATTTTTTGCCAAGACATGCGTCTGTTTCGTTTTCGATCCGCCACCCTGTATATGACTCCATGGTTGGAATATCTTTTGAGTAGTGTATTTGAATTTTTCTAATGACTTGATCATAGGTGTTCGTCTAAATATTTCGCAATACTCAGCTAAGCACCGAATATTGAAAAAACACCTAGGACGAATGCCGAATCGTAACCAAATATTCGTCTATATCTCTAATAGCAATTCTGATTTTATAGCCTCAGATCTCGTCGTGTTACGTCATATCACCTTAAATTACCTCACAATATTTATCTACTTTCCTAACATTTTTTTTGTTTTTCTACTTTTTGGTATACTTTGCTTTGGAAAGTATTCCGGTTTCCACTTTATTGTGATAACTTACTACTAAAAATTGTTATTATTATATTATAATTATTTATCCTCTGTTTCTTGTTTCAGAGATGCCCGAGCAGCGGCACGTCACGTGATACGGTGCGGGCAGGCGCGGGCATGTCGGCGACCGACGGGCAAATCGCCGCGTCGGCGCTACGGTGGGCCGACGAAGGGCAGCCGCTGCGGGAGTTCGTGGCGGGCAGACGGCTGCCCGCACCGCTCAAGATAGTCAAGGGCCAGTACGCAGGTCTAGGTGTCCCTACGCTGCCCAACCCGGGGCTACAGAGCACGGCGTTGATTGTTTCCGTGGGCAGACGGAAGAAGATCCTTGCTCAGGCTGTCAAGGTAAGGGTTCATAGATATACGAGTACTACAGTTTAAATTAAAGGAGCGCATGGCTCTGATTCTGTCCGTGGTCAGGCAGAAGAAAATAAGTCAAGGTAAGGGTTGATAGAGATATTATACAAAGTCTCTGAAAAGTTCTGGAACCCCACGGTAATTTGTGAGTTAATGGAGGAACTGGTCCAAATATAGATCCCCATTTATATTTCATCAAATAAATTTGTCTGTAGTCCACCAATTTGTTATTGTTTTTGAAAAGGTATTATAGGTAGCATTAATTATAAAAACGTGAAAGAATGCAGTTTCAGCTATATCAACCAGACTGTGCGTAATATGGGCCCACTAGGAAGCTACTTATTTAATATAAAAAATATGACATTTACTCTAATTTGACATCATTCGTAAAGTGAAAAATATTTAAGAACGAAATATACTCATTACATGAATAAATTATTAACTTATTTATATTAACATACCTAAATAATAAATATATTTATTTGCAGAGGTCGCAAACATAAGCATCTTTTTCTGCACCAGAGCACGAAACATGAGCCCATAAATGGCAAAACAAACATTGAATCCACAGCTCCCCTCTAACATCAATTAAAGATTCACCCTTCCGTCTCACAATCCTTGGATTCTTGCTTTGAACCACGGTTAGACTGGTCTCATCTACGTTGAATATTCGTTGCGGTAAAAAATTATGATTGGGATAATTTAGTCCCAAGTGCTCTGGAAACGAAGTCCCAGTTGGTCTGAGAACTGACAAAAACAAAACTACCTCGTGTCGCTCCAAATATGAATAAATCCAACTCCAGCCTACGGTATCATTTTTAGAAGGATATCGAATTCCATTTCTGTCAGCTAGTGTTCCTCATTCTACAAATATCCTTCTTTGTCAGTCCGTAATACATACATGTCCATTTTCAAGATATATTTTACTAACCCAGTCTCAATATAACCTACAAAAACTGGTGTTCTGCATAATTTCTATTAACAACTCCAAAGGGTTCAATGTCATTCTTGCATTGGTGCAATAGTATTTGTAGAGTAGTCCTTGGAACATTGATTAGTGACCTTTTTCAGTCGCTTTTTCTAAAGCAGTTTGTAATGCTAGTATCATATCTTCCTTTTTCCACAGCTTCCTCAGATTATTCCTCTTATGATGTTTACTTTCGTTCCTCATGATTCTGCGAATAAAAAAGCATTATTTAATTGTGATCCCAATATGGGCCCCTGATCATATTTCAAACGTCATAGGGGACCAAGTTTCGCGAATCACATGTGGGATGTTCATGTACTAACATTCATTATCAAACCTTGCAATATCAACGGGGTTCTTCAGGAATGTGATAGTTAAGCTTCAAGTAACATTACACAATAGGCAGTCGTCAGAAAATATGTATAACATCTAAAAAAGTAATCCACATTATACTTAAAATTTAAACATAACTATCTGCTGCGCGGCAAACACCGGTTAACTGATCTTGTGTTCTAGAATGCTTTGTAAGGCAAATAGAAGCTAGTCAGACATCTAGTTAATGATTGGAGCCACTTATTTCGGCAAACAAATGGGGGCCCATATTCTGTGCATGACCCAAAATTTTACGTTCAAATATGGTCTTGACCATTCATAAATTTTAACCTTAGGAGGTCATAGTCAAACTCAAACCTAGGTACGATGATATAACTTGAAAGCCAGTACTCGTAAAGTGGTGACCTTGGATCTTAACTTGGTAATGACTTTCAAGGTCATTTGAAGGTCAGCTCTTTATTTCTTATGGAACCCTATACCTTTGACTGAGGAAATGAGAAGAATGTAAGACTTCATGGTCGAATATATCCTTGACCATTTTTAGAACTTGACCTTGGATGTCACTATCAAAATCAAATACAAGCTTACCGTACTTGCTTGATAATTCAGAGATAGTCCCAGATAAACGGACTTCACTGTTCTTTAAGGATTGCTTCCTGGCTACAAAGATCGACTTGACCTTCGCATGACCTTGAATATTATCATAGTTAATGTCACGTCCAAGGTCACCCTTGTATATCCGGGGAAGAATGATAAAATAATTTCACTGTAGTTTTCCTATACGACTACTGGTTTTCAAGTTATATCACCGGACCTAGGTTTGACCTTGACCATGACCCCTAGGGTCAAAATTCAAGGATGATGAAGACCATACTCGAACGTAGAATTTTCCTCTTTTTTGATTTACAGAGTCATAACGCGACTTGACATTTAAATAACCTTGCAGGTCTTGGTCAAGGTTAAATCGAATGTTACCATTGGATCATTGAGGGAAAGCTCCTATCAATCGCGGAGCTTTGTTTTCTCACACCGGTATTAGATCACACATTATCATGGAGCTCCGGAACTTTTCAGACAGCCTGTAGGTCTAAGTTCAAGGACATACTGCTGCCTATGCCGAAAAAGTTAGTCAACGGCCAGTACGCTGGGCTGGATGTTCCCACGTTGCCAAGTCAAGGGCTGTAGAGTACGGCGCTGTTTGTCCATATGCAGGCGAATGAAGATCCAAGGACAGGTTGTGAATCTGAGAGTTCATTGACATATTACAGGCTTAAGCTGGAGGACAGACCTCTACCCATCCCGAAAAACCTGTCAAGGTCCCGTTCGCAGGGTTAGACGTACGGCGCTGATTGCGTCCGTTTGCAGACGGGTGAAGATATTTGGTCAGGTTTGAAGGTAGTGGTTCATAGAGATATTGGTTTGAGTTACAGGGCAGACGACTACTCATATCGGAAAAGGTAGTCAACGGCTACTGTACGCGGGGTAGGGTCTCCCTACGCTGCGCACATCAGGGATGCAGAATACGGCTCTGATTATGTCCGTAGACAGGAGGAAGAAGATCTTTGCTGAGGCTTTTAAGATATAAATTTTATGGGTTTAAATCTGGACGCAACCTACTACCCATACCGAAAAAGGTAGGCAAAGGCTAGTACACAGTTCCTAAGCTGCTCAACCCAGGGCTGCAGAGTGTGGCCCTGATTGTGAATATGGGCAAGCGGAATATCCTCAGGCTGTTAGGGTTATGGTTCATATGGATATTATGATCTTGAGTTAGAGGCCAGACGGCTGCCCATATAGGAGAAGGTAGTTAAGGGGCAGTGTGCAGGGGTGGGCGTCCTCACGTAGCCACAGCCAGGTCTGCAGGGTACGTCGCTGATTGTGTCGCTAAGGCAGGCGGAAGAAGGTATTTGCTGAGGCTGTAGAGGTAAGGGTTATAGGAATTTTATAGCTTCAAGCTAGAGGGCAGACGGCTGTCAGATAGTCAAAGACCGGTACATTTAGCTAGGCTTTCCTACGGTGACCAATCAAGGACTGCCGAGCACGTGTTCGTTGTCAGGGTTCCAAGGTGAGGAGTGGGGGAAATCAAAGATTATTTCCTATATAAACAGCAAGATTATGTTGCACTGCTGTTTCGACTCGAGAGCTTTCAATTTATTCTGTTTTGTTTGTTTGCTTAATCTGTTTTTCTCTTCCAGGTGAAGGAGGGTCGTCGGCTATCTTCAGTAGGTCCCCGCCTGCTGATCCCGGACAGCTACAACGGGTACTTTGAACTGCTGAGCGAGGATGGTAGGGCTGTGAGGTGCATCGAGAGTGTAGCTGACCTCGCAAGGCGGCGACCTGAAGAGGGCTGTTTGGTCAGAGAGACTGTGAGGGGTGTTCAGGCGAGGGTAGAACCCGATAATACTGTGGTTGCTGAGGGGGCCAGGACAATACCTGCAGGTTAGTTTTTTACAAGAAGTGTTCTAATAATACTGCTTTCGTCTATCCAACCAATCGTGCGCGGCATTGAATGAGAGAGACAAACTTAACTAAGAATCAAGAAAAAACTTTCCGAGATATGACACATTTTTTAATTTGATCTTGAAGTTACAAACGTGTGCCACCCAACAATGTTCGACACGCAGAAAGACGCAGTCATATGTCAAGAATTGTCAGGAAACCTTGTCGCGTGACTCAAGTCACATACATAGATGGACGCTGAACCCTTCAAGGTAATAAATAGAGAAGCGCTATTAGAATGTCTTTCAGACACATACAAAAGGGCGTCCGGAGGCGGAACCAAGGATGACACCTTTGTATCATATTGACACAGATCTGGCTTAAATTTCGCAGTAGCAATTGGTACTAAATGATCTGAGACGAGTGAATGAGCAAGCAATAAAACAGGTCCACCTCGACTTCCGAATGCTTCTGGTATTAGCTGATAAGCAACAATTTTCTCTGTGGTGTTGCGGTGTATTTTAAGGAGTACGACAGACTGTGACGAAAATATTGCAGTCTTGAAATTTGACTATAGTTTCTCTAAAGCCACCAATTTCTTTGCTAAATCATTTTTCACATGTTTCTGTAATTTGAATATCACGATTGTTTGGTCGTTATCCAGTTAGGTATGCAAAGGCTCCAGAAAAAGAATAGAGACATTATTTCAAAATCAAACTGCGTAAAAATTCCCAGAGTTATCTTTAATTCTATTAGTAGTATGTCACTAGTTCATTCACAATACGCAGTTGTAATATATGAATACAATGGAGAGCCCCAGTACAAAGCAACAACAAAAGAATGTCAATATACATGAAACGCACTAAGAAGACAATTAACGTTGCGCATACACCAAACGCATGCCTTTAAAAGAAAAAATGTAGGAATAGCCTACATTCCGTGTGAGATTACTAAATGATCACATTAGCGGTTTTATTAGAATTTAAAAGTAAAAACCGCACAATACCAAGACACGTGGTAACCTTGTGAAATTGATTGGATTACTGATCGTACATCAATAGCTAAATAGGTAAACATTTATACAGTTTGTTACCACTAATATTACACAGGTCAAGCATTACTCGATGTGTGTCTAACCCACGCCCCACACTCACCGCTGAAGGAGCAGCACCGAGCCAGCATTGCCATTTATATTAGTCTACAATCTCTTTATAAGCTTACATAGTATTCGTGTAATATCCCAGGGCTGCCAAACATTACTTATTATCTGGAACACGAAAGTTGGTGCGTTGAATAGCGTTTATACATGTATGTGGTACCATGTGAGAAAGGATAAGTAAAAATAAAACTGACTTACCTTATAGTCTGATGGCCATCCAAAACCGGATTTTTCAACCAGACCGCATGTTGCCAGAGTATCTTAGCCTTCATAGATCAACATCGCATCAGCCTTTTACCTTGGCCACCACGATCGCCTGACCTATCTCCAATTGAATACGTCTTACTCTTACTTACGAAGTTGTAGAAGCCTGGAATGAGATACCCCAATAGGATATCGACCACCTTATCAGCACGATGCCCAGGCGTGTCAATGAGTGTATAAGAAATCGTGGATCCTCAACACATTGTTGAACCAGCTTCTGCAGTCAGTTGACGAATCAAGCTGAACAGTTAATCATTTTATCAGTAACACTGAACATATATGCCAAAAATTATTAAAATCGGATAAACATACGTAGGTGTTTACCTTTTTTGTCACTATATTTCGTCAATATTCATAAAACTAAACTTTATTGTTGCATATCGATTCGCATTCCATAACTCTGATGTCAGATTTTCGCCAAGATCAACGAAAGTCTCCAAAACGTCCATTTTTCTCCTCCAAATAGGCTTCTGTATGCTTTGCCATTTTTTAATGCCACATTGTAGACAGCGACCCAAATTACCTCCCTGCATAGAGTTTTGTTCGCTTGTGACAACGAATAAAAATTTTGCATTGAGAAACTTAAATGAATTTTTGATTCACCACAAGGAACTTAGCATCAGTAGAGACTTTTGAGATATAAGGAGGGATAATCATGAATTAACGTATTCTACCTGAAGATACTCAACCCTAATACTAAGTTCGCGTTCAAAAAACTAACCATGATGGAATGCTGAGTGAACACCCTTGCTAGAATTTGCATAACAATCTTATTATTTCTACCTCATGTGCTAGAGTTCCTCTTAGTTTTATTCTTGGTTAAATAATTCTACCTATAACTCGTAAACCTGGTACTATATTTCGACATCCAAACAATTACCATGATACCATGGCATCATCTATGCTAATTTGTCACAGTTATGTTTCTATTCCCTGCGATAATTATAAATCGACTTTGAAAAGATTAGTATGATTAAATAGTGCTTTAAACAACTCCATAACAATCCTATTACATCATGTTTCTTTTACTTCATGTGATAGAATTACTCTTAGTTTCATCATCATTTAATATATTCTACCTGAAGATAGCCAACAATAAATACTATATTTTGGCATCCAAAAAATTATACGAGATGAAATCAGCTATGAGAATATGTCACAGCTATATTCCTCCATTATGCACCAATTAGAAATTTTTTTAAGGTTAGTATCTCTGTTTTGGCCTGTAGCCAAATGTATGCGATATGGTACAGCGAACACAGGAATGGTAGATAGGTTAACCAATGGTATGATGAAACGTCTGCTCTAGTAGAAGACAGATTTATTATCCAGCTTTCACCCAGAAAAAAAAAAGTCGTAGGCTTATAAGCTAATGAATTAGGCATACTCCTTCTATAGCTTCTCATTCATCTAATTTCATTTCAGGGGAGATACTGGTACCGATGGGTGAAACAACTTTGGCCGGCTCAAAAGGCCGATACCTGAAGTGTGTCGATTCAAAAGGAGACACACTTCTTCTGGGCATGGAACAGAGAGGAAGATTTTCCGCGTTAGCAAGAGAAGATAACATATCAGGTGTTCATACGGCGAAGAATCTTCTTAGCAAAAGACTGCCGATTACTGTAAGGTAGGGTCAATCGTCTGCATATTATACTCGAGCAAATTAAGTATTGTTAAGAAAAGTTGTAAGGAGATGAACTCAGTTCTGTTTTGACTAACCGGCTTGTACAAGGTGGCCGATATGTAGCTGACTATTTTAGCAAGTCTATACTCTACCTGTGTGTTCAAATTTCCACACCAACTGACGAATGGTGTTGACGCTGGGAACGTTATTTCGACCGAAATCTTGTCGTAGCTTCCAAATTGTTGCAAAAATCGACTCATTATTTAAGTAAAACGTTTTAACAAACAAACGCATTTTGGGATCGTGTAGCGATCCATGATGAATTGGACACGTGTGCTTTAAGCAACTACCACGCGGCCACCTACTGAAATGCGTGTATCAAAAAATCGCATGCAATTTAAATCAGCCACCCTGTATAAGTAGCATTCAAGAGTACACATAATTACAGATTCAGTAAAACCCTATTTTTAACACGTCTTAAATTTTGTTTATTAATCTGAAGTGTTAATCAGGTTTGGGTATTTCAGTTTCAGCATTGTTTTGAAAAATCTATAGGTCTTATAGATCGGCCATTTGCTTACAGGATGAACTAATTGGAGCTTACAAATTTATTTTAAGAAACTAATAGTAATTCAACCTAAGAAAAAAACGGTTCTTTATAATTTTGTGAATATTACTGCATATGTTTCATCTATTATAGCATTATAAAATACAGATGAAGGTATGCATTTTGTAAAAAATACTCAAAAATTAAAACAATGTGTTAATTGAGAAATTTAGTTGGCTTATTGCCATGAGCCATGTCTCAACACATCATAAGTCGCACAAAATTCTAGCTAGTTTGAAACACTGTCCTCCTTAGTTCTCCCTGTATCCCCCTATAGCTCCTCGGTCCCCCATGGGTGCTTAGGCTTAGGCCTTCGTGGTGGTTGGAGTATACAAAAACAAGGGGTGAATTGATTTATAATAATAGCTCTATTGACTACCATCCTCCACGAGTACTGTAATAAAGAGCGTATTTAGATATCTGACACGCGGATTAGTTATTTTAGTTGTGAGCGATAATTGCTGTTTGCTCCACCACAACAGTGCTTGTTGTATTTTGTGAGCTTGAGAATATTGTAACATGAACTTGCATTTTTGTTGGCCATTGTGATGGAGCGTTGCATAAGTCAGGAGCTTTTAGAGTGCCTTGAGTGCCTAGAGCCTAGAGAGGCTTGATTAGCGGCAGGTTGTGTAGTTACAGGCACCAGCGATCCACGCGGGACCGTACATTACCTAATTGTCCAGCAAACTCAGACAGTCTTATGATGAAGCTCATGACGCTCGATCAGCTGTGGCATGCATACTTCCATCCTATGGCCTCCCAGAGAAGCTTGGCAAATGGGTAGCTGATATCCGTCGTAATTGACGGGTTTCCACAACGTCAACCCGGGTCTGCCCCGGGGATCGGCGTAGGCTCGACATTGTTTCTCTTACATATCAACGACCTCCTTACCTGTACGATCAATCCGATCCACAGCTTTGCTGAAGACAGCACCCTTTATGTAGGAATTCAGAGTGGCAATCCGATCTCTGCCGGTGCACTAGAGAAAAGAAGACTAGCAGCGAGGAAGCGGAGAGATCTGGAGGTAGTCACTGTTTGGAGACGTAATAATCTTAAAACAGCTTTATGCCTCTAAAACACGGTACCCTACCATGACTAACAAAAAGCGTCCTAGCGCTTGTCCGGTTTGACTCAGTTCTATCAAAGAGCCGTGCATTTCGGCTGGTCGGAGTCCAGATCATGGAGGCCTTGATCTGATACGAAAACATCTCGTCAATAGCGGCAGCTGATGGGGAAAAGCTAGGCTTTTTGTTTAGGGATAAGAAGTACGTTTCTTCAGATGACCTCGCTCTGTACAAGGCCCAGTAAGACCTAGCCTCAAGTATTGCTCACATGTTTGAGGTGCTACATTATCCATTCTATATGGTTTTCAGAGGAGGAATGTCCGACTGATCGATAACTCTTCCCTAACGGACAGTTCCAAGACTCTTTCACACGGGCAGGTCGTCGGCGATATAGCTTTCTCCTACCACTACGTCAATGTGAATGTCAAAGAGATCCACCTGACTGCGGCCTCTCATGTTTACCGTGTCAAACTTCGTACATCCAGAACTGGCCGATACGACCGCTCCTTTGTCTCTAGGGTGTCTAGTAGAACAATCTATATGGGGAGGCTTTGCTCAGTTATCTTAACCTTACGCAGTTCAAAAATCAGGGTAACAAAGTTTCTCTAAGCTCCTCATATCAGCCGCGATGTGGTGGCATTTAGGCTAAGGCCTGCGCTTCAATCTGAAAAAAAAATCAACTAAAAGTACATAATTTCCTTGTTCTAGGCTAGTCCACGGCACCGCGCCTCGCGGCCTCAAGTCCCCGGGCCACTTCGTACCCGAACTCCGCCTACTCTCCGTGCTAGAAGAAGAACACGTGTTCGCATTACCACTGCAGCGCGAATCGCAGTCGGTGACGGCGCTACCTCTAACGGCACCCTTAAAAGTTATGAGGGCCAGAAATGAAGACCAAGTGAGGATGACGCCAGAGTTCCAGCGGCTGGCGGATCGGGCCCAACGACTGGCGAACGACGTAGCGGATCGGATACAGGCTCTGGATGGGAAGGTGGCGGATACCAAAAAAGGGCATGATCCGAGAAATGGGTGAGTGGATATATTTTTATATACACTAAGAGTAGATATACTAATAGATCGTCACGAGGATGAGAAATGGCACTCGTTGTGTAGTTATATAAATACGGCCACAGTATACCGTTTCCCCTTAACACGTCTTAATATGTCTACAGATCCGTCAGAACTGTATCATTTCACGATATGAGCTGCTTTAAATGTTGCTACATAATCAGCTGTTTCCTTTATGCTACGTTTTGCCGTTAAAAATAATTTACTTCATCCCATCTCAAAGTAATTCAGTTGTAGTTTTCAATACAAAATTTTAGCTGAAAATTATTCCTACGCCCTTTTTCAGGTACCTCCTTCGTCGCAGCGCCTCCTCCGACTCGGCAAATCATCGGACCTCAAAACACTCATCAAACAGCCATTCGCACCACCACAGACGAGGAGACGACGTCGGCCGCGTGCCCGTGCTGTCCAAAGACTACGAAGAGATCGACCAGATCTACGACTACGTGCGAGGCTTCGCGCCTCTCCCTAAGAGCATCAGGTCTCCCTTTTCAGATGCTTCCCCCTCTATAACTTCGCATAGCTCCGCTCCTGCGGATCCAGCAAAACCGGAACCGCCCCCCATAGAGACCATCCCCACCAAGAAGATGCAGGCGGAGAAACGGAACAGAAAATCGGCGTCGATCAGGGAGAACCCGCCCAAGATCACCGATAAGGTACCTCCTGGGTTGCCGAAGCTGTATGTCAAGAATTCGCATTCTCAACGAAGCAGGTTTGTTTAGTTTATCTATAACTAGCTTAAGCCCGCGGCTCCGCTCGCGTGGAAGTAGTGTAAAGTATAGGCCATGCGTATCCGTTAGTTTTAACGAAATTAAGCTCGGACAAAGAAATGCAATATTATTCTTTGGTAATAAATATTTTTACTCCACATTTCAATGCAACAATATATAAATATAATCGTGTCTCCAGTCTGTCAGTCTCACGTCTAAACCACAATATGAATCAACATAAAGATATATACATTTACTAATTTATACCAGAGGTTTTGTTCGCGACCTCATTGTCGGATTTGCCTATATTGAAATACCTCGAAAACTTGGCAACCATGCATTTTTTGGAAAAAAGGTTCTAAGAAAAGACGCAGACGGCGTTGTATACACTAATTTTATTTCGTGTATTTAATTAATAGACGGCCATCTATCTGTAACAACTGACTCGTGATTTCAAACCCCTAGACAAACAACCAATAGCCCAACACTAATGTCACAAATATCTCCTCTAAGAATGGCGTCAAGTGGTTTGACACTGCACATCCTACGCAACGCAGTCATCAGGTCATAAGGGATCAAGTTCAGCCTAATTTAAAATGCTTGAGAAAAAAATCAGTTACGAACATGTATAACACGGTTGTTAAACGAATTCAATTAGTCCATAGGCATTCTATCCCTGTCCTGTCGGTAGTTACTGCCCATTTGGCAACGTTGTCCCTTACCACATCTGCGCGGCATCGCTGCAGCGAGTTGTTGATTCCGTGCGTGGTCGTGTATGTGCATATGTTCGGTCCGCCGGGCGGTGAGCTAAGCAGAAGTACGTGGATCGAAAAAAACTATCTATGATTATGTCTTAATGGCAGATGTATGGGCAAATCTATGATGTGTGAAATATGGCTAATAGGTGCCGGGGGAATTACCGGGGCTAGGAGTGCATAAATATGTCATGTCCAAAAAAATGTTCATACACCCTCTCCCACCCAAAACAACCACCAACCCCAATTTTTAACGCCTAGAAAAATTTCTCCGAGAATTATTGGGTGTCTGAACGCCGAAAAAACAAGTCTGAGCGATTTTTTTCAATTTTTCGGCCCTCACTTCGCCGTCACTGGGATGATTTTCAAAAACTATAAAACTTTCTCGTCCTTCCTTGGCATAGTAGTAACCTTGTTTCAAAATTTCATCTCAATCTCAAGTTATAGAGGGTCAAGGATTAGCGGACAGACTGACAAACAGACGGACCGACTGAACTGAGTGACATCGTGATATAACCTCCAAAAAACATAACGTCTTTCGCGATTTAGGCTTTTCTGTTCTCATATCCGACGTCACCGTCCCAAGTTATTCCACTATGCCGAGCTCCGTTCGCTTGTAGCTATGAAGAAAAAAAATTGTATTTGAGAAAAAAACCTCTTTGCCAGGTAAATCGGTTTCGTACTTCACAAATCAGTGTGGCAAATTATCCGGGCCCAATCCTTGAATTTCTGCTCCATACTTTTTAAATTCTCTGAACAAAAAATTATCTTCCACTACCCGACTTGGTCGATGTTTTGAATAAAGAGTTAAAAACCCATTAAAGGTCAGCTTAGAAAAACTTTTCAATGTTCATGTTTTTTTAATTTGCATTTTTTTTCTTCTCTAAGAAGCGAACAAAGTTATTCTAATACGCTTTTCTTTGTTGCAGGCTGCTGAGGCAAAAATCCGCCTCCCCAATGAAAGAAACCCCACCAAGTCCGATCTCAAAATCCGGCTCTCCTCTCTTCAACATCCGCTACAAATCGCTGAACAACCTCCAGCAAGCTATGGAGTTAGATGGCACTCTAGATTCGAGCAACTCGGGAGGTCGCGCTTCAGGCGATTCCGTAGGTCAGAAACAGCCCGAGAAGAGGTCCAGGAAGCTCTCTAGGCCCAGGAGTCTCACTAATTTAGTTTGGGAGATCCGGGAGCATCCCGACATCTCCATGCCTGTGGTGGAGAAGAAGAAGATTGACCCGGCGGCCATATTGTATAAGAAGCACTCTAAGTACTCGGTGAGCAGTCAGCGGAGAGGTACGCTGTACTTGTAAGTGTCTTGGGGGCGGACGATGGTCGATCTGTACCTGGTTATTGATTCTGTGGTCCTTCTTCCTTGCTATTGTTGTTGGTGACCATTATGCTTGAAGGCCTTTGTCAATATCTTCGTGAATGACCTCAGGATTTTGTTGGATCTATACTTCTATACTGCGGTTTTGTGCACATTGACACAGTGTGTAATTTCAGGTTCTCTCCGGTATTTATTTTTTGAAAGGGTAAAGTTAGCAAACCGAGACTCGTGATGCTGATTATTGCATGAATGATATATTTCAGCGTGACAGTTAAACATTTCAAGATGGTTGTAGGGCGTCATCTTGATCAAGTTTTTTAAAGCTCCCTATGATTAATTTATATTTTAAAATATAAATCCTTTAGAATGACGGACAGTTGGGCTATCAAATTTGAGCATTATTATACATTAATTTGCTTATAACTGGACAACCAATCATAAAGCCACGACTTATTTTATGTTATACTAATCTTTTTTCTTTAACAGAATTATCTGGATGTATAGCAAAACATTCAAAAAAAGATGTCAAAATATTTTTTTTAACTAATACTTTATTGTAGATCCTTTTGGAGTACGAAGATTTATATCACACACTATAGCGTGTTTATGACTAGAGTTGTTGGGTTATAAGTAATTTAATGTACATAAATGATAAACCTTTTTCTACCCGCCAAACCGTCATTTCGAAATATAGTAAATTTACATTCTAGGGTTATGAAGCACTCATATGGAACTTCAAGGTGAGGTATCGCAAAAAAGTGTCCAAGCTGGCAACCAGCCACAATCTTAAATTTTTAACTATCACTTTCACGCTAGAATATGGTGTCTATGAATCAATTTCATCATTTCTACTTTCAACTCACCAACATTACCCTTTAAAAAAATAGTTAGTATGGGACCTTTTTGAAAAGCACTGTATAGAAGATAACAGTGTTTCTAAAAGTTATCAATGTGGTAAATCATCTACGAGTCATCTGTGTATCCTAAAATAGCCTTATAATCCTCATGACTTTTGTTTGTTTTGCTTTTGTGGCTCCTTGTAGAGCTTTCCATAAAATTTTAACAACTTTGGTCTACGTCAAATAATTGAGTCTATCTATTTAACGATGCAGCATATCTTTCCAATAATGAATAACCTTGAACAAATTGCCTTTCAAGGTAGTTTGGTGGAAAAAAGATATTCCACAACGTGTATGTTTTTTTTTGAAGATTTATGCATTATTAAAAAAATGTAGCTTACCATATTTTCTAGGAACAAAAGCAAACCCTAAATACAGACGGCCACTCGTCCGTGACCCCAAAACCCCAACTTAGCTGTTTGTGATTTATTTGTACTGTAAGTTTTTGGATTTTTTTTATTAATTAAGACTTGTGATTCCTAGTTTTAATGTTTTTTTTTTTTATATTTTTGAACCGAACAGTTGATGGTGACCTTTGAGAGACTCGCACCGATAATCTACCGTGTATGTGTACTTTCACTACAGGTAACTGCAACATTGTATGTACGAGGTGTAAGCGAAATGTTCTCAGTTGATCTCGATTTTGCAATAGTTAATAGAAGGAACGGTGAAAAGTGTAAATGCGTCTGCTACAAGTTTTGAATGCAAAGTCAGTTCAAGTTACATATCTTTGCAATTGTGGAAGATAGAGGAACAATGGAAAGTGCTTGAAAAATGAACGAGATATTTTTTGAAAAACGATTGACCATTGCTCCTGAGCCTTCTTCACAGCATTTCTTGACATGCATGATCATGAAAGAAATGCTTAATGGTTTTACAATTAACAATGTGCATTCTAAAAAAAAATGATGGGCAGCTTGTCAACTATTGCATACGCATGTATGCATATATTTTCAGCAAATTGGAAATAGCAAGTTAAAGTGGTAAATAATAGTAGGTAGTGAACATGTAAGTCTCGAATGACGGAAGCAGTTATCTTCACTATATTCAAATAATTATGTTAATACACATATCATCTTCATTTACTATTTTTCAAACAAAAACTAGTAGATGCTAATCCCTGATTATCATAATATAAGTGAAATAACTGGAATTTGCATTGGAAAAATCTAACATGTCATGTTATTACTGCCTATTTGAAAACCTTCACCTGTGATTATAATTCTACATGATCCTGATCAAGTCAAGCACTTATGGTGCTGTATAAATATCAGATTTACATATCACTAATTCTCTTGTACGCAAGAATACCTTGAAAAGTAATGAACACATGTATCTTGCTGGAGAAGCCGAAGCCGAGCCTAATTACCGCGGTACCATTATTGCTATCATGAATCAGGTATCGTGTTTATAATATTTTTTGACTTCAGTAGGTTATTGTTTGTACACCAGAATAAAAAATCATCATTCGACATTTTCAAATACGCAATCATATCAGCGGCGGGTCCATTTGGCACGTTTGAAATTCGGTAGCTCATAAAACAAGACTTAAAAGAGCAAACATGGTGACGGATGGTCGACGACCTGGCTTTTTCTACCGCTATGTCAGCGGGCTTTGCTTTTCGGAGCTCTCCGCCTTGATGCCACCACGCGATGAACCTATCAAACGGACCAGACAGAGTTCTGCCTTCCATCCCAACTCTATCGAACTCCGTGCATCCAAAGCTAGCCGATACGATCGCTCCGTTGTTCCAAAGATGTCAAGAGTGTGAACTATCTGCCTGAAGAGTCTTTTTTCAGTTCTGCAACACATAGGCAGTTTAAAAATCGGCTCTGAGCTCTTTATAGCAGTTCCTTTGCCGCGGTATTGAGGTTTCTGTACCAGTATAAAAGAGACCCCTTCGTGCCAAATCTGAAACGAATGGCTTTTTGGCAATGTTTGGCCATCCAGGTGCGTTTGGATGGTTCTTTTGAGTTTTCGATACCAGATAAGCGGTAATAGGTACGAAAACTTATCTTGCACCCTCGTATAAGATTGTGCAATACCTTGAGATTTGATATTGTTAGTAACTAAGTGAACGACGAGTGTACAAAAACACTATTAGAGAGATTTGTACCTAACTGTGGGTTTGAAAGTGAGCTTAAATGAAACTGATTTATTGCATGGATTAAATAGCTATTAGACCAGTCAACATGGTAACGCCTCTTTAAAAATTCTAGTGTTGACTCGGGAATATCTGAAACTAACATCTTGTGCTATACGTGTTGTAGCTCGCGATCTGACAAGCATAGTTAGGTCGATCGCAAATAACTGCTTTACCGTTCTAGAGTGACAGAGTAGCCAAAACGGTCGCCGTAAGACTGACGATGAGAAATGCCTATGTTAACCGAATGCCAAATGAGGGTACAAATTTACGATTTTACAACAAAATGTTTTATATGAAATGATAAAAGCTTTGCACAGTTCATTCTTAACTGATCATAAACCTACCAAGATATTTTTAATTAATCTTTTCTAATCTATATAAAATAACTGGCACAACTGAAATGAAGATTATTTACTAACCCCTTTCTTATGTTCTGACGTTTCTCCTATTTTGACCGTACTATGAGCACAGCACGGGTTTTAGTTATACAATTTTTGCATAAATTACAGATGCAAGGCGCAATTTCCTAATCAAATAAACTGAAAATTGGATCCAGTATATTCGAAATCAAATCTACATACCTAACGGAACTTTTTGTGCAAAGTTTTTTGTGTAGATCTAGGAATAAATGGGTTTAGGTGAAATTGCAACTGGTAAAGTTTGTTTTGAAAGGCAGCACTTACTTTCGATATCGAATGTAAAAGGAAAAAATGAATTAACAAGGTGAGTTACATTAAATGACCGGAAAGCTTAATTAGTTGAGAAATAACAGTTTTTATTTTTGGCTGCGTCGAACGTTAGCATACTGGTAGATTAGTCGATATATACACTGGACGCCAAAATAAGTGTGTCCCTGTTCAGGATGTTTTTTCCTAACTAGGGATGAGAGATTGTTGGTAAAAAACTGGTTATCTTACCAATTACTTTAACCTGCATCCTTTACGTGAAGCTAAAATAATTGGTTAAGCGGTTAAATGAAAGTGACAGGTATTTTTCGTAGAAAAGTTGTGATGGGGGTATGTACGTGGCTTATAGCGTGTTCTTTTGATAAAACTCGTTCAGGTTCCATATTCGAAACACACTGTTCTAACTCATTCTGAAGTTTGGCCCCAAAAGAACATAAAACATGTGTTATTGAGTATCTCGTGCTCTCTCTCAATGAAAAATTTCGTTGAGCTATATTGCGCTGTTCAAATTTTCGAAAAAGGAAAAAGAAAATCATGTGAAAAATTGATATAAAAGTGTTTGTATGCACAAGCATAAACTATAAAATGTTAAACTATTAACAGGTAACAACAGTAGCACGGAAAGCAAAAGTTTAACGACGAAGCAAGAGAGCATGAATGTACACACCGGTTCTAACAGGAGAACATAAAGTAGGCACCAGCGCAACACCATAGTTACGCCAAAAGGAAACGTTATTACCGACAGTGTCGTGGATCTACACTTGTGTCGTACACATACACGAAAGACCACGTGTGCAGAGCTGCCAAAGTCGCTAACAACAAAATAACACCTACGCTACCCAGGACGCCCCTATTCATGGTGATTTTTCTAGACAGAAACAAAAACAATTTTTGTCACAGCCGTTGAACTTTTTGATCCGATAACCGGTTAACCGTACATTGTAATATAACCAATTAAAACTGGTTATTCGATTTTAAAAAACGGTTATTCCACTAACCGGTTACTTTGGCACATCCCTACTCCTAACTCTGTATTTCGAGATATAGCTCAACTAGATAAGCGAAATACTGTGTGTGTTTACATTTGTTTTCCTCATTACTACTATTCGTCATTATTCGTCAGAGCGGTCCGGTGGACCTTTGCTCTTAGTTAAAAGTCTCGTCGGTCTGTTAGTCTGTCAGGTCTGGCTACCCAGATACCAAACATGTTTAAGCGGGAAAGTGAAAGCAGGAAAGAAATGAAGGAAGAAATAGAGCAAAGAAAAGAAGTAAGTCGTTTGAAATAGCTTAAGCATTATTTCTTTGACTACTCGAATTATTTTGTAACTCCAAAAAATTATTTTGATCGGTTTTGTGTACTGAAATAATTTTGGCTGGTCTGAATTTACAATTTAATTTTGATCACAGTGCGAGGCGCGGCCTGGAATGTTTGCGAACTTGCTCGACTGTGTAGTTTACTGAATCACGCAACAGAGGGTTGCTGTGCGATTCCGCTTGATTATAACGCCACTGCGCCTGTTGTTTTACGTAATCCCTTAAATATAGGATGTCAAGATCTCTGTGAATAGTCTTATTTGACACGTACCAAGGGGCGTTAGTAATTGTGCGTAGGGTTCTGTTTTGCAGAACTTGCAGTCTCTGCATGTGCGTTTTGGCAAGAAAGCACCAAGGCGCGCATACGTAGGTGATTTCGGGTCTTTGACCATTTTATACAACCGAATCTTGTTGATCAAACTTAATTTTGAATTTCTGCACAACAGACGATAAAGCTGCCGAAAGGTGATTTGGAATTTTGTTTTCAAAATATCAGTATGTTTCTGCCAGGTCAACCCCTTGTCAATGATGACTCTAAGATACCTGACAGATGATAAATGCAGGTTGTCTATTGTACTTAGCCATTCAATGGCTGCGGAAAGATCGCCTGCAATGCCTGATTGGCGCTAATCAGGGGACTTATTATTTGTTGAAGGGACCTAAGCGCAGTTGCTAGGTCCACATTCAGCGTGTTCAAAGTGGGTTAAACACAGGAGGCAGCTGAACATGTTGAGACGGCTGCTTCCGCGTATGACTTGCTGCGTCTTTGCGCTATAACTTCCAGATTTCGCCTGGGGGTGAATCTGCAAGTGGGACTGTTAGCGGAATGCGCTTCTCCACAGTTGGCATACTTTCGCTCCTCTTGTCCTGTGAGGGGGCATAAATGTGTCATGTGGTCGGAAGCACATTTTAAACATTTGGGAGGTGCTGTGCAGTAAGACTGCGCATGACCATACCTTTGGCAACGGTGACACTGCCCAGTAAGTCTAGAGTTCTTTTGAACTTCAACTCTGATTGCTAGACCCAGCAGCTCATGTTCATTGAACAACTGCTGGGACTTTTCAATCTTGGGCAGTATCACGACCACCAAAGGCATGGGTGCGCCGCCACTGCGTTTGAGTCGGATAATGTGGAGAGGAGTATATCCCCTCTGTTCTAATTCCCCTTTGATCTCCTGTTCCGAAAACATTGCGGGTATGCCTCTGACTACCGCGTGAATATTTCGTTCTGAAGGAAGAGGGAACGTACGATGGGGCACGTCCTCATCCCTGAACAGGCGAACGATTCTTCGGTAATCATCTTCAGTTTTCGGTAAAATCCTGATTCCCGCATCAACGGCAACTGAGCGTTCTATTTTAATGCCTAAGCTTATAAAGGTGTAGTTTAGATGTCGCCACTTGGTCGCATCACGCAAAACAATGGGCGTGATTCGCCCCTGGCGGGGTGCTGTGCTGGTCAACTTTACTGTTTTGATCCCTAACTGTCTCAGTCAGCTCCTATATTTGCTGGGCCTGGCTTTCGATGCTCAGGGTCTGGCGCTGGATGGTTCTGTCCTTTTCGTCTGCTACAGCTGGTGTCATCAATTTCTTTGATTTCATGGTCTCAGTCAGCTCCTTTATTTGCTGGGCCTGGCTTTCGATGGTCAGGGTCTGGCGCTGGATGGTTCCGTCCTTTTCGTCTGCTACAGCTGGTGCCATCAATTCCTTTGATTTCTTGGTAATTTCTGTTCTCTCCTTCTGGCTGGATCCATTCATCATCGGGGACGCTGGGGGATCATTACTTTGACCTCCAGAGTCTATCTCCATGTTTGTAAATCGGGCTTTCTATTGAAAAACTTGAAAACTTTCACGAGCAAAAATATGACGTATTGTCGATTATCCCTTATACAGCGCGAATGTGTCTTTCTCATTACCGTAGCGAGACGCAGACGTCATACGTTCAGGTACAACTATGACTGTGGGTCTTTTTGGTCTATTTGATACCTCTGCTACCGGCTTTTGTTCCGAAATTCTTCTTTAAAAAGCAAAAAACAGCCCCGCCAAAGGATATCGTGGGAAATGTGAGCCGCAAAAATTTTTTGAGACACGGGAAAATCTAGAAAATATTTTTGAAGGGTCCATGTGATGAATTTGAAATTACCCGATTGGATTGTGGTCTGTAAGTACTCAGAATCCATATTCAGGAATAAGTCCATCAAATTGAAAAAGGACGTTCAAGATTTTTTTACTCAAATATTTCTGGGGGTCCGGAGAGTCAAATGCTCCCTAAGGCGGCCAAATCTCAAGCATCCTGCCGGAAGTTTTATAAGGCAAAACATTTTTCCCAGAAAAACATCATAATATTATAGGTAGTAGAAAATTATTGACTCATTTGGAATGCAGCTATTTTCTCGAACAAAGGTAAAAATATTGTTAAAATGTAATCAAAATAATTTTCGAGGTGCATTTTTCGTGTATAGCGGTACAAACGGCAAATATACAAATTACATTCGAGAAGGACACATATAAGGTGCATAAAAGCCGTAATTTTTCAAAACTTACCCAAAATGTTCTTGGTAAGGCCGAATCATTGAACCAATCAACGATTTCATGCATGTTCGTCTAAGAGTAAACTTTGTCGCATCTGTACGCTAAGACTGTGTATCGGAAAAAAGATGCTAAATTTATGAATCATAGGGTGTTATGTCTATTCATATTGTTACCCAATATTTGAACGCAACCGTTTCGGTGACTTTTCTGCAATCTTGCGGCGCAATTCGAGAAAGCGAAGTGAAAATTCATAAAGAGGATATCGAAATCTATAATTTTATAGGTATGATTAACGAATGGTTGTACTGAGTAAACTTATAAAACATATGATGTGGGTGCCAGAATTAACTTATGTCAAGTCCACTTGTAGTATGCACTTTCTTCCTGACTACAGACTAAGATTTTGGAGTAAAACAAATCGTAGGCTTGATCCCTCTTCCTAGTCTGAATTCCTTGGCTTGGGCTGACAAAAATGTGCTTCAGAATTATATAGTAGTGATTTTCGGGTAGACAGGATGTTTCTGACCGATGTACCGTTGTTTCAGAACTTAGATTGTAATTCAGAAACGCCTTTGTATTATTATGACCAACATCCTGTGTAGTACTATTTTACAAGCCAGAGCGTGGTCAATCGAATATAAGTATATCAATACAAAATAACTTTGTGTACATATATACTGCTTATCGTAGAAAATTATAGCTGAGATAACATGGTCAACCAATCAACTGTTTTGCCATATAATATTAGGCAATTTACTGATGCTTATTTCATCTGTGATGAAACTTCTTGTGTTTTATATGTTACTGTTTTAGTTGTTAAGTACATTATTGTCAAAAATCGGACACTGTAACCAAAAATATATAAAAACCATGAATACCTAAAGGATACATGTGCCATCTATGCAGTTACAGAAATATTACACTCATTTAACACTTGTCACACCTTATACATTATTACACAGCTCCTCAATTCTGTGAAAATAGATTGAATTCTTAGGCGAATATCAACGACCGTGATAGCTCGGCACTGGTTGTGAGAAGCTGCCAAGCGCAATTCCAAACGGTTCCTTTTTCTCTTTAGTTGAAGTGAAAATGAGCTGTCGAGAATCCCTGCATAATAAGATGGGTGTGTGTAGCATTGTGTAAGATGTGCATTCGTTTCAATAAAGTCAACAACGTGTTTTTATTGGTGATTGCTGATTCTGTATACTTATATTTTTGGTTCAGTCATCCAAGTACATTCCAAAAAGTTGTACCCCCGTTGCCTTGATCTGGTAATATTAGAATATATAAATGGTATTTTGCTGAAACAAAGATAAAATAATTTGTTTCGAAAATATTGCATGTATTTTGGTATCTAAAATTTTTGCTAACTTGTCACATGTGGAACATATATTTATTCTACAATTTGTATGATACATTCGAAAGCGAATAAATATTTCAGAAAAATCTGTGTTATTTCATTTCTAGGAGCACCATTTTAACCTTGACTGTTCTGTTTACTCTTGCTACAAAATGCAGCAAATGATTGGGGATAAGCAGTGCAATTTCATAAAGACATTATTCTGAACATTTTCTTGAAAGATAATTCCTCGGTTAGTTTAAGGCTTTAGCGTATATGTCCTAACTTCGGGTAGACTCTGTATACATGTGATTAAATGACACACAAAATTTAGGCTTTTCAATGAAGTACCAATACTTATCCATATGAAAAAACAAAGTTGGTGATGGTAGTCGAAAGCAGAAACATCGAATTGAAGATTTGACTATACCTTGTTATAGAGGAAAAAGGTGGTAATGACAGTGCTAATCTGGCTTACGAAACAATTGTCTATCTGATGATTTCAAACCTAATATAATGAAATTCTAGTCATTGATACTGATAATAATTCTTATTATCTCGTACAAGAGAAAAACTGACAACACATAAGGCCAGGAACCTTTTTCTTCTGTCTGGAGGTGTTTTGAATTTCAGAACTCTTTAAGCCTCATTTTGTTAGTTACCTAAATATGCAATTTTGCCTCCATTTAAGATAGCAATGGTGAGCGTCGAGCTCGAAACACCTTGAATACTTGAGATAAACAGAAAAACGACTCAATAAAAATATACAATAATAAATAATCCGCTCAAAAAATTAAACTTTATTTTGAATTTATTCTGAAACACATTGCATAGAAAAAGATAGTGCATGAAAAAAAGAACTTTTTCTCTGCCTGATCATATAAAAAAGTTCAAAAGGCGGCCTCACTTTATAGCGGCAGGGTTAAAAGCCTACAAATTGCCAAAAAAAATCGTTAAAATGTCAACTTGTGCACTCAGTAGCAGCTGGTGTGCCGCTAATTCATTCAGCGCCTAATGCAAGTGAGAACAAAGTGAATGTCAGCTATCTTAGGTTACATTTTATAGGAAAGCCTACATAATATCAGATATAGCCCACATAATGCTGTCAGGTTTTGCTTACATAAAAAACCTCCATGCACTTTTCGCATCTGAGCCGCAGTAAAGCAGTACTTCTGCTACTGATGCGCTGCTCGTCTTCTCCATTTACGTCTCATTTACATTTTAATACATAATGCATCTCACATGACGGTTCGCGTAGGGTTCAAAGTACTAAGTGAAGGATGGGAGGAAATTGAATTGTGCGAGGCAGGAACGGCCGCATTTGCATGTGATAACGATACATGACGAGAGAAGCAGAGGAACTGCTGTTTGCAATGTGAGCAACGTCACTAAACCATCAAACTGGTATAAAAGGTGGGTAACTACAAACGCATTTTATTTAATAAACACAGTTTTATTAAAGTTTTAACTAACAACGTTTTGATTGATATCAAGAGCGAAATAAAACTTCGTTTACGAAAGTCAGTGCTACAATGTGTCCTTCATATTCCGGATCAATTACGAGTACATGCCGTGGCCGCGACATATTAGGCCTACTCGCAGAGATAGAAGAAAAATAGGTATTTTGTGTAAAAAAGTCCAGCAGATATATGAAAGTTTTCAATGAAAGGGGGAGTGTTTCTAGTGGCAAATACATAGAAAGATATAGTTGGATACGCGTTGCTTTTTATAAACAATGGTAAAAATCAGTATTTTGCTTGTAGAATTTTCAAATTCAGTTTTAAAGATAATCGATTAGCTGGAGATCTGGAGCATTAAAAGTTCTTAATTTTTGTTTTTTAAGAGTTAAAATCGATAAAGAACTACTAGGCTTTTTAGCCATATTGAATAAATGTTTATAACTATTGCAATAACAATTGTAAATTGCTAAAGATTTGCAAAAATGAGGGCATCATTGGTGTTAATATGTGTGCTAAATTTCAGTCGGATGGATTCAATAGGTTATGTAAAAGGCTAATTGTTTATCCCAGAGACGAATTGTTTAAACAACTGTTCTTGTCCAAGATATGGTGCATTTTACAAAAGTGAAATCAATTTCCGAGGGTTTCAACTTTGAGAATTTATGCATAAAATTAATTATTTATTTTAAAATTGTCATTCTTATAGTTTTAAACATTCACAATAACTTGTTTATCTTTCAATATAATTTATTTTAAAAAACTGATCATCTCGATAGGTGACTAAATAACGCCTATTTAAAAAAAGCCAATAGGAGGAGAGTTTTTTCATATCTTCTGTTGTTTATAAACATTAAGACTTGATATTTTCGCAGATTTTAAACAAAGATCTTAATTTTATGCGCCAGCTGATAATTTTACTATTAGTTCAAAGGTCTTTAAGAAATAGCCTCATAAAGTGAATGTACTCGCATAAGTATTTCCGGGTGAGGTAGTGGGCTAATCTAGCTCGATTTATTTTTTGAAATTGAGTCTTCAAACCGTAGAGCGCTGTGAAATTTTGCATTATCTCTGCTTCTAAGCAACGTATAATCTCCTTTTTTTAAATTTGGGGTAACTCATCGACTAATGACATCTGTCACATTTTCATTTTCCTGGAAAGTCGGGAAATCCCGGAAAACTTGACATGCTGTATTCTCCAAGATTAAATTACTATGAAATAGTAACAAACTGACAATAAATTATTTAATTGTACTCTCACTCTAATGAAATGATTCATATTTCACAATAACATTGACAAATAATTCATAACTCAGTTAATTGGTATACTCTTAACTAAATATTTATTGAAAAACAAAATTGAAGGTCTTTCTGTGCTCTAACATGTTCAATCTACCGATTATTGATAAAATTTAATTTAACGATTATACAAGCAAAACACTAAATTTTGGGCTCTTCCCATTATTTATAAAAATCAACGCATATCTGGCTGTATCTCTTTATGTATTTGCCATTATAAATATATCTGCCTAGCTTTTTCTATCTAGCCTGGACTATACCAGTGGGAGCGAAAGTTATCTGTATAAAAGGCATATGCAAAATTCAGAATTAATTTTCTCATCTTTTATTTAAATCAACACCACTTTTTTTCACAAAAGTCAGTGCTACAATGTGTATTTCATATCGCGGATCAACGAAATTCCGTGGCCGGGGCATAGTAAGCCTACCAAGGGAAGCGAAAGTTACCTGTACGAAACGCACACGCAAAATTCAAAATCAGTTTTCTCAATGCTTGTCCTTCATATCCCGGATCAGCTACATTCCGCGGCCGGGGCATAGTAAACTTACCATGGGGAGCGAAAGTTACCTGTACGAAACGCATGTGCAAAATTCAAAATAGGGTTTGTATCACATATATTTTTATTGATATTCCACTATCATGGAAAATAAATTTTATGAGCTTAGAGAAAAGACCCCAGTTTTTCCTGTCGAGTCCACATGAAATTCTGGGATAAGCCACATTCTTTACGTTGAATTGCGTCGCGTACTCGTGTGCGCGACGCAACGCCAAAACTATAGCCCCATAAGTGGGCTTTCCCCAAAAATGTTCTTCTGTTACCATGTAGAATAATATTCTGATCTCCCGTTCGAGGACTCCTCCCGAAGCTATTTGTAGGCCACGCAGTTCCTCCAGGCCGCCGTATTGCCTAAAATTGTAAGTTTTACTATCTGAAACTTTCTAATCCTGTTCAACTATAGTACACCTGAATATTTTGGTGATGCCTCTGGGTATTTTCAGGTCCTGGGAAAGACAATGTCCTAACGAGTAATCCGGCGGCGTAATACTCGTAAATAAATCTGCTCCAGCTTCCTCATAGGCGCAAGAAGTGGGTGACGCCTTTTTCACACTCTGCTCACCACCTCTTCCACTCCTCGTCGCTGTACTTTTGGAGGATATCTTCGATTCCTGGATATTATTATGTGTCATATAATAAACATCCTAAAACTTGAATAGTGTTGTGTTGCTCTATTTGCTTGATTCTATTATATTCACAACAAGAATTTATTACAAACATTTCAAGAATTTGGATTATTCAACCATAACTTGATCGAAGTATCATTGAAGAACTGTCAAATGACTTATACCGGCAACGCTATTATTACACCTTGAGATGTGTACGTCTATACCCTGGTACCGAAAAGGAAGCGAGCCTGCAGTAGCGTGCGATGTGTCCCGCTGCTCTGTTCCGTTTCGGTACCTGAATATAAGATAATAACATGCCTAGTACCTACCCCTCTATGCAAGGCAGGTGCGTAACGATCCTGTAAGGCTAATAGGTGTTACGAACAGGGACGAAAAGTTATGAGTAATAGAAACTAGAACCACAAATACTTTAGAAGTACATGCCGCTGCCTTCCCTAATCCCTAATTCTTACTACTCACAAAATGATTTTTTTTAGTTTCTATCTCTGCCGCCACTATAGCGCTTTCCAAAAACTATAAGAGCTTTTCTTTCAGGATTTTGTCAAAATCCTTTTAGTACTTTTCTAAATACAGGGGACCAAGGATCCAGACAAACTTCAGACGACATATGTTATGACAGACAGACGGATACAAATATCCAAGTTCGTGATTTTTGGCGATAATGATGCTTTTTCCGGCCTCTCTCACAGAAAGTAATGAATCCCTTTTTTCTGATACCATGTGTGTATGTTCTTCGTATGTCTGCGGATATAAGCCGTCAGTGCACGAACGCACCCACCAAATGAAATATGTAACTGCATTTTTGGGATGTTCAGAGTGATAATTTTTCATACGCAAAACTTTGCACTTTGCCGCCCTTATACGATTTCAACGAAGGATGATCGACTGCCACTTATATGACTATATAATTCTGTCGAAAAAGTCACACCTTTTCGAAGGCCTTGTTCAAAATACGCGTCAGCTTTGCCGTGAGAGTAGTACCACGAATTTGTAAAAAGAATTGTGGCACTCAAGCATGACAATATAATAATAACTTATTTTTCTTCAGACAAAGTTTGCATAGAAATCATCAATAGAGCATCTATACACAAAGACATAACAAAACGATAAATAAAACAATATAATAAACAGCATTTAGACACTGATAAACTCACAGACATTAATAAAACGTTTATGCATTAAGAAACCTTTCAAACAATACTTAAAGTGATTTTGATTTGCATTTCCTTGAATACGTTTTGGATTTGCATTTCCTTGAATACCTTGTGGAAGGATTTCAAATATTTTGGGACCAAGTATGTTCTGCGACTTTAAATTTAGGAAAGTTAGCGTGTTTATTATTACTGTGCCTTGTGGCAGCTGTGTGTATTTCTTTGTTGAGGGTAAGTTCCGTCTTTTTATGGAATTCGTATAATACCAACTCGTGAATTGCCAGAGCAGGTTTATATTTTTTTTTTAATTTCTTGACAACTTGATATAACAATTCGTTTTTGAGCAATAAAACCATGTTGTGTCGCAGCAGAGCGGCAAAAGTACAATTACCATATCTGAGTCTGGACTCCACAAGACCGTAGCATATTCCGACCAGCTGACTTGTAGAGAGTTCCAAACTTAGGTTTTTAAACAAATAAGAGAGAGTTAAGTCGCAATGTGCTCTTAAATTTACTTATCGTCTAGAAATACGCCCAAAAACACCAGTTGTGAAGTTCAATGACGCATTCCTATATGTAACGCCAGAGATGTTTATCTTATTTAGTGGCTTATGAAACCTAACTGAATTGGTCTTGTCAGTGTTCAAAAGCAACTGATGTTTGGAAAACCAATCACTGACCTCTGCAATTACTTCATTGCATCTATCATTTAAGATATTTTCCAATTTGCTCGATCCTAATATTGATGCATATAGTGTGAACAGCCCAACCTAGGAGACTGACTCAATCTCATTGATGTAGAGAATGAACAAAAAAGGCCCTAAAAAATGAAACCTTGAGGGACTCCGGTATCAACAGTGACTTCACTGGATTGAACTGGATGTAATATTTGCTCATCTTGATGTAGTAGAGAAACATATTGTTTCCGATCAACACGGTATGAGTGGCGCCACATATTATAAGGAGCACAATTCACACCTGATGCAGAGAGCTTTTGCAACAGAATATTATGGTTGACACAGTCAAAGGCCTTACTCAAGTCGCAAAATACCCCAACCGGACACTCTAGTGTCTCAATGAATTAAATCAATCGTTCATAGAATGAACGGATTGCTGTTGTTGTTAACATTCCTTAGAGAATCCGTGTTGGTTCAGTGAGATGATATTTTTTCCTCAAAAAACATCAGTAAGCGACTGAGAAGCAAAACGGTAACGTCACTGGCCCAAAATTCCCCATATCCGATGAATCCCCTTTTTGTAAACTGGTACCACCTTTCCTCTCTTCAAAATTTCTGGAAATTTCCCTAGACAAGAAGACAAATTAATCAAATGTACTAGGGGCTTACTAATACTCGTAGTATGTAACGCCTCTTTCAAGAAAAATCCAGAAATTTCATCTGGCCAAGCGGAATTCCCACTCTTGAGTTTATCTTTTAGCAGGTTTAGAAACTCATCTACGTTGAACGGATATAATATTTTGTTTGCTATATCATATGATTTTCCAAAGTTGCACTGAGATACTGTTGTTTTAATGAGCTGCAATGTTATATTTTTGAAGTATCAACTGAAATGCACGCTTGCAATATGCAGTGTATCAGTGCTAACAGTTTCATCTACTTTTAATGAGTATTGTTGTTTCTTTTTTATTTTTTCAATTATTTCAGAAACTACGTTCCAAGTCGCCTTAGTGAGGTTTCCCGATTGGAAAATTTTGTTTTAATATAAGTACCACTTGGCCGTGTCCACCCGATTCTGATGCAATTTCTTTGCTCGATGACATTCCGATCTGGCTTCTGGGAATATTTCTGTTAAGCCACATAAGTTTTTCTTGTTTGATATGATCACTTCATTGCCCACTCATCAATATATCAAAAAATTCACAACAAAGTTATTAACCGCATTTTCAGCATATCTACGTGAATAATATATTTCATATCCTGTGTCATCGTCAGTGGAGGAAATATTCAGTTCAAGAAGTACGATCCTGTGGGCAGATACAGTAGTATCCATGACGCAGTTTGAACCACAGTTCTGAAAATTTAGAAAGATCTGGTCAATCGTTGTTAATAACGATTTCCCAATTCTTGTTGGCCATTTTATTATAGTATGCAAATCGAAATCACTCACACTGTCAATAAAACGCCTATAATCGTGATTTGGTTTATAAAAGTCAATATTAAAATCACCACATAGTATAGTTTTAAAATTTAGTTTATATAACGAGGCTTGATATGCTTATTCTTTTATACTCAATATGACTTTTTAAAAATATAGCAACTTCACCACCTTTAAACTGGCTTCTGCAATAACAGTCACATAAATGAAATCCCTCAATTTTGTTGTTTACAACTGAATCCTTTGTGACCCATGCCTCAATATTCTTATAATCACCAATGTCCAAACGGAGCTGATTGATTTTGTCACGTTTAAAAGGAATACAGAAGGATCGAAATATGTTACCGATTCATTGTTTATCAAACTGTTTACATGCGTTTGTGAAATATCTAACTCACCGGGGCTAAATTCGGCGTATCTGTAAAAAATAATTTATGCAGGCACTTTTCGGCCACTTGCAGCATCTAACGCTGATTTGAAATTGTTTTCAGAAATGTTCACTTTAAAAGATGAAGAAAAATCGGGATATTTAAAGTTTAATTTTTCTACAGTCGCCTCAGGGGGAAGTTAGATTTGACCATAGATTCTACGTCACCTGTTTTTGTATTTGGATGCAGCTTAGAAACGTGTAGAGATATATATTTTCTTTCCAACCCCTACCACTGAACCACTAACTGAACCACTACTCACAACCAAACTACGTTCGCTTCCATTTCCGCATTTTCGATCTTTGACTCGCTGCCATCCGTTAGAGTTGCCTTCCCTGGAATCAGTTTGGCGATCCTGTAGCTGGCACAGCTGTGATAATTTGCTTCTGCGCTGTTTCTACAGCAGAAGCCACCTGTTGTCTGATAATAGTATCACAACTGCTAGAACCTGCTGGTGGAGCTGATTCCCTTTGTAGGTTTCTTCTGTTTATTTTTATTGGTGATATGTGTTTGAGTATTGCTTTCTACTTGTTTTCTGTTTGTGATAATTTCACCAGCAATGGACGAAACGTTCTCCTGTTGGAGATACGTCGCTGTTTTTAAATAAAATAATTGATAAATTAAGGTTTTTATGGTTTGTTGCTGCGTTTTTATAAATGCGTTTTTCTCTTTGTTTTGGAGTAGAACTATATCTCAATTACTCACGTCGATATGCAGGATATCATTCAAACTCGGAATTGCCAGATGGCAATCGTCTTCGGATTGATGGTCATAAGTCTGATTGTTGAGTCTAAGGGTTTATCTTCTTCACAGCAAAGTAGAGTCTTCCCACCTACGTTTTGTATGTTTTTCATAAATTTAACACGACTAAGGGCTATTATTGCCTGACCTACATGCTTTGTAAAGTCCCAGCTCTGCGGACACCCTGTGTATCGGACTTCATCTTGTTCGTCTCCAAAAGCAATGGCAGAATGACGTCCAGCGAAGGAAGGAAAAACCTGAAGTTTCAAACCTGTAAAACCGTACTGAACTTTCAGAAAAATGATTGCTATATCGACGTTTAAATCAGACCGAAAGAACAATTAACTGGCTTTCAGAGAAATTATTGCTATATCGATCTTCAAATCAGACCGAAAGAACAATTAACGGGCTTTCTGTGGACTATTTAAATTTTTGTCTGGTCTACTTTTGAGACTAATATTTTTTTAGCAGCTGATCGCCTAATTTAGAGTTCCATCGCAATAGGCTTGCTTCGCAACAAATGAAGATACAATCAACAGATTCTGCACGTTTGTTGTACATACGTGGAACATGCAGCGATGAAATGTGGTGATTAAAAATGCAGGTTCAAGGATGCGAGTAACTTTGAATTGTTTTACCTTCGCGGTATTTAAGTATAATTTTCTTATGTGAGATAAGAATGCTGCCTTTTAACTCATACAGTGGGAATAGGACTCCGAACAATTCGGTAGACAGATGGTTAACGAAAAAATGTTTTTCAAGCCATATTGTATTTTTTTACTTTATACTTTGGAACAGGCTCCCGGGGCCAGCGAAACCTTAATAAAAGAATATAGAACACCCATTAAAATTTTCTCTTTCTATACAGGTAGACAAGGAAAATGAAGTCATAATTAAATCTTGGAGTTAAAGCGTTTATGGTATCGCTAGATCTTGCTAATAATGTTTTGGATCACTTCAGGCCATGTTTCCAACAAGGTGACTTATGTCTTATTGAGGTATCTCGTAGATGATTCCGAAGAACTGCTAACGATGGTGGAGAAAGAGATAAAGAGGTCGCTCCTCTAGCGAATGGTCTGAACATCTTGGAAACCAAGGAAAAATATTTGACCGTTATTGAGGTTAAGGAGTCTTATCGCATTTTCAAGCATTTGGAGAAATAATAAAATATTTAGAGAAACAGTATCATATGAGTTATAGTACTTCCTAGATATTTTTGCGCCATTATACCTCCTCCAATGGAAACTGATGGTGCCATGTGTAGTCACATCTCAAATTATGACTACTGGAGCTTGGTGCAGGTGCCGTTCAACTGAGAGAGCTGCTTTTGAGGTTATCGATGTTTTTGTTAATTTGGAATCAAACTTTCCGATTCAAAACGAATCAAGTCGACGGACAGTAAAATAATTATCCCATTCCATTCCTAATCGACATTTACTCAAAGCAACTCAAACTTATCAGAAATGACAAATTATTAAGGTGATGCCAAACGTTCACGTATAATGTTCCATTTGTCTTTTATATTTCTAGCGTTCACGGGCATCATGAGAAAAACCTATAAAACGTCAAAAAAAAACGTATACTACCTTATCTGCAAGTTGACAGCAGATAAGGTCTTTCGGGCGCAAACAGTCATTCCACGTTTGTTCACTAGGATCGTTGTGAACGTCCATTTATGGAGGAATCACTCAACTAAACTACGCATTATTGGTTGCATAGTATTGTGAGGCTGAGTGATCCGAGTCTGTAGTTTTTATCTCTGAGAAGAAACTTGGTTGAATAGCAAGATCGCATTTGGATGATTACGTGTATTGGTCTGCATGTGTATAAAATCAGTGATATTTGCTGTGTGAGAGAATCATCACAGAATATGCTGAATATGACGGGTTATTTACATGTTGTGCTTTCTGAAAAGAGGTTATATTCAAAGTTATAAATTACGAAAAACTGAGGAGAATTACGGGAAATCATCACCGAGCTCGCGTTGTGTGTAATATGTATATGTATATGGCTTGTACTTTGACAGTGTACAGTGAATATAATTATTTCTGATGTCTCTCATTTTCGAAATTGAACAAATTTATGTAGTTTCCAGAATGTGTAAGAAAAAGTGTCTGTGCAACTAATTTCTAGCTTTGAATCTCGATTTAGTGTATTTAAGACAAGAATCCAATGCAATTATCATCAACACATACAACTTACAGCTTAGACCTCCAGTAATGCCATCTCTGCAGCAGATTTTACGTAACATCAGAGCCAAACATTCATAACTAAAGCCTCATGACGTTTAGACAACACGTACAACTAAGTGTTAAGTTAACATCTTGTAGAAAAACCTACATAATGTCAAAAAAACCAGCATAATGTCAAAAAAAATCGGCATAATGTCACTTTTCAAGATACGTGATACCTGTGCGGATATATTATACGTATATTTTATGACTTTTAAGAATCAACGTCAGGTCAAAATAAATAAAAAGTGACCTTACTGGGTATATTATTTAGATAGAACGTACAAAACAAAAAAATGCATATCACATTTCAGATATTCAATAATACTAATAATAATGATGTTAATAATAATGTTTATTTGTAAAATACAATTCGTCTGGAACCAAACAAATAAACATTTATTGACAGCCGAAGGCAGCTGCCCGTACGCGGGTATTTACCCTACAAAACATTGTCATTCTCATACGGATGTATGTATTCATGTAAATTTCTCTTGTAAATGGTATAGTTTGATATATTTTCAACTATTATTAAATATACTTGTTTGTTTTTATCACACAATTACACAAATTTATCAATGAGTTAAAATAATTCTTATGTTCAACCTGGTACCGCTGTATCACTAATAATAATTAAGAGCGAGTGACAATCACGAACCGCTGAAATCGAGGTTATTCCTTCCCTGATCCCGGCATTTGTGCCCGGCGCCCTCATCTCGTTGCTCAACTTCCACGTACTGAGTATTCCCAAAACAATGGAAAAATAGAGCATTCTGAAAACAACTATATACTGTCGTGACTGTGTTGCTCTAGCATGTTGTGTATAGTAGGTATCATTTTAGTATTACTCAACCCGAAGGGTGGAAAACGGCAACTTTAACATAGTGTTCCCATCCAAAATGTCGTGTTAACTGCTCAAGTAAAGGAAGGAGGACCCAGTTGTAGGTCGTATTTTATCGTTTTATTTTAATAAAAGTTGGTGAATGTATTTATTTTACTGTAAATAACAAGTGAAAAAATTCTCAGCCTTATCAGTTAGACATTCCGGTTTGTATACTGCTTTTTTTAATACACTAACGCTCTAAAAATGAATATTTCAGCCGCAGTAAAGAATCAACGTTGGCGGATTTTGGTTCTTGACATCCTTTACGATCGGTTACGATACCTGGAGTACGGAGACCTGTACGATTTCGTCAACTTAGTGAGTTTGATAGGGGCCGTATAGTGGGACTTCGAGAAGCTGAACTTTCCTTTCGGGCAATTGCAGTTAGAGTACAAAGAAGTGTAGACACTGTGGTTAGGTGTTGTCAGGCATGGCTTCGAGAAGGCCGTACGCAAAGAGCAAGGGGCACTGGACGCCGCCGTAGAACAACAGACCGTGAAGATCGCCGCCTAAGATTATTGGCCTTAAGGGACCGTTTCTCCACTACCAGGTCCATTGCAAATGAATGGTTTGCAGAACACGGAAGACCTATTGGCATGCGAAGTGTTTATCGACGAATGAGAAGTTTTGGCTTGTTTTCATACCGGCCACACTGGGTCCTCCCTTTAACTCGATAACACCGACGTAATCTCCTTGAGTGATGCAGACAACGGTCACTCTGGGATCAGGAATGGAACAGTATTGTCTTTAGTGACGAGTCACGATTTTGTTT